GAACTGTGAGATCATGACCTGAGCCAAAATCAAAAGTCAGATGCTTAACCGACTAAATCACCCAGGTGCCCCCAGGCACTAGTTTAGACCTTGGGAATACAGTGAGCAAAACAAGTAAGATTCCTGCCCTGGAGCTTACATTTTAGTTGAGGAATACAGATAATGAGTAAACAATCAGAAAAGCAAGTTAAGTTTAGACAGTGATAAGTGCTATGAAAAAGGTTAAAAAAAAAAAAAAAAAAAAAGGACACTGAGACAGAGTGACCAGGGCAAGGGGAGGGAGAGGTCTACCTACTTTGGATGGATGGGCAGGAAGGTCTCCCTCGAGGAAGTGGCATTTCCTCTAAGTAACCAGAAGATCTGAAGAATGAGTGATCCAAGAAGAGCAACAACTACTGTACAAAGGTCTTGAGGTGGAAACATGTTTGGTTGGGCAGTGCATGTGAGGCAGAGAAAGCCAAGGGATGAAGTCACAAAGAAGGCAGGAGTTAGATCACACAGAACTGTAATTCAGAGATAGGGACTTTGGACTTTATTCTAAGGGCATTTGAAGCCATTAGATAATGTTAAATGGGAATGAAATGATTTATTTTAATTGTGAATTTGAAATTTGGCAAGAATGGAAGCAGGGGGGCTATTAAATTAGAAGTCTCTTTTAAGAGTCCAGGTGAGACATAACACCTACTCTGACGAGGTGGTTACTTTGACAAGGAGATAGAAGGAGGTGAACAGATTCAGGATCTATTTTGTTTATTTTTTTTAAATGGTTTTTTATTTATTTTGAGACGGCAAGCGAGCACAAGCAGGGGAGGGGCAGAGAAAGAGGGAGACAGAATCCTAAGCAGCCTCCACGCTGTCAGCACAGAGCCTGATGCAGGGCTTGAACCCATGAACCATGAGATCATTACCTGAGCTGAGATCAAGAGTCAGATGCTTAACTGACTGAGTCCCCCAGGTGCTCCCAGGACCTATTTTAGAAGTAGAGACAACAGAACTTGCTGGTGGATTGGATGTGGGGTATGAGGAAATGAGAGGAATCTCTCAGGGGGATGCTCGTTCCATTTACTAGATGAGAAGGCTGGGAAAGGAACAGGTTTTTGGAGGGAAATCAAGGGACCTGTTTTGCTCATGCTTTGTTTGAAAGGCCTGTGAGACACCCAGATGGAGACACTAAGCAGATAGCTTGATGAGTGAGAATGAAGCGGGTCTTCAGCAGTCTCTCTGAATTTACAGCCTGTGTGTGGAAACTTAGTAAAGTCTGAAGAGGGGCCTGGAAGGGCGGCCCCATTTCCTCTGGGCCAGCAGAAGCCCCCTACAAAGGCCAGGCCCTTATCATCTGAAGGGTTTGGCATGCCCGTGGGTACCAGTACGCTTCATTTCACATAAGTAGAAGTGCTTAAAGACTTGAGAAGGTCAAGCAAGTTGTAAACTGCTATTTGTCATTTACCTACGTTTCAAGTAGCCAAGTGCTTTCTCTTTAATTCTCAATGATCTTCAGTTGGCTCTTAGCATGAAGTTTCTGGTTTCCGCTTCTTTCTCATCACTCCCTCTCCTGGCTTCTCTAATCAGCCTTTAATTCTGTGGGATGTTTAAAGTAAAAAGCTTTAATCCACCCCTTGATGATTTGGGAGTGCAGGAGAGGTCTCTAAGGGAGTTCAGAAAATAGCTTGCCTCTTCACTACTTCTGGAAAGTTGAAGAGGAAAACAAAGAGTGAGACAAACAGGTGGTTAGGTTGGAGGGAGGGACTTTAGGTTTGGTGGACAGGTGTGCTGGACTAATACTGAACTCCAGAATCAAGAGCTGTCTCCATCTGCTTGCGAGCAGCCCTGGGCTCAGAGCAGACGGGGACCTCCCAAGAGGAAAAAGGTGGCAGTGCTAAGCCCAGCATGCTAGGGTACCCTGGCCAAATTTACTTTCTGTCAGTGGTAAAATGGTTACACCTCTGGGAGAGGCCGGGAAATAGCCCTCCTCATTGGAACTTGGAGTGGATAAAGGGCATTTTCCTCTAACGGATAATGGAAATGTTCACTGTTCATTGGCTGGTTTTACAGATTTTGATTTTCAGTAAGTAGGGCATGGTTACATTGCACAAAACAGGTATCAAGCACAATTCTGCCACGTATTAACTGTGTAATTTGGGGGAAAGTTTCTTGAACTAAGTCTCCGATTTCTCATTTGCAAAAATGAGGATACTGGTACCGACCTTGTGAGATCATTCCTATAACATGTTCAGCGCACTGCCTGGGTCAGAGTCGGCACTATTAGTATTACTGGTCATGATGGCCGTCACTACGACCGTGTTAGGAAATCTGCTAGGTGCTAGGGATATAAAGATAAAAGACATAATTTTACCATCGAGAAGCTGAAGACTCTGCAAGGAGATAGGAATTAAAAAAAAAAAACAAACATTAAAATCCAGTGTAATGCATGTGTGGTAGGGTTTCTTAACCAGGAGGGTGCCTGCCAGTGATACACTGTAGTGAGACTAAATCTGTGTAGGCTGAGACAGAAGAAACAACTTGGAATTGTGGAGCCCCTCCATCCTCATTGGATACGGGGTCAAGTAAGTAGCTCCCATTGTTTGTCAAGAAATCAGGAAATCGCCTGTGATTTTAATCTTTTTTTTTTTTTTTTTTTTTTTTTTTTAATGGGAGATAGTCACTAGTGAGGTTAGAACAGGGACGGCTCTAAATCCTGAGTGGTGAAGCCAGGGTCCTGAGTAGCCCTCTTGATGGTGCAAAGAGCTCATTACTTTGGAATCTACACCAGGGGCCTAAAGTGGCAGAGCCTGAGGTCCACGGGATGGAGGTGACACGGAGACAGGCTGGAAAGGCCCTACTTGGGCCCAGATTCTGACACTGCACTGACCCTGCTGTTCAGGTTCCTCATGGTGACAATGCGTTACTGTTTTTTTTTTTTATTTTTTTTTTCAATATTTATTTTTGGGACAGAGAGAGACAGAGCATGAATGGGGGAGGGGCAGAGAGAGAGGGAGACACAGAATCGGAAACAGGCTCCAGGCTCTGAGCCATCAGCCCAGAGCCTGACGCGGGGCTCGAACTCACGGACCGCGAGTTCGTGACCTGGCTGAAGTCGGACGCTTAACCGACTGCGCCACCCAGGCGCCCCATGCGTTACTGTTTACTTGTGTTAAACAGCTTTGCTGCCTTGCTCCTGAGCCACCTCACATGCAGAAGCTACTGCCTAGGCATCTTATAGCTGTAATCCATTAATCCTCACTGCATCATCTAACTGGGAATTTGGCTAGGAGCACTTCCTGTTAGAGAGCTCTGGAGTGTGTGGGTGGCCCATCCCGGAAAATAAGCCAAGTACCTTCCAGGCATCAGGGACACATGGCCAGTTTGGCCACATTTACCCTTCTGCCTGGGCCATTAGACTGAGTCACTAGACTCCCTTTCGGGCACCTCTTAAGCACAGAAAATCCTGAATTTGTAAAGGAGAGGCTTCTGGAGGTAGGATAGTTTGGACTTCTGGGATTTCTATTACTGGTTTATGAGGGCTCAAGCATTTGCACTCTAGGGATGAACGGGGAGGCACAACGTTTGTACCCCAAACTGTGTAGGAGGCATCCTGGTCACACAAGAGAAGCATGTATGAGCTACAGTAGCGTGAAGCCAGGGGTAATGAATTCTGTAAGAGGAGGTGTTGGAGGAAGACTTCTGAGAGGTCAGGCCTGAACAGGTTTTAGAAGTATGAGTAGGCGTTTACAGTGATAGAATGGAGGAAGTTAACTACAGACAGGAAGAACAGCATGGACAAAAGCTTTACTAACTCGCGACATAATGTGGTGTTAGTGAACTCAAAGTAGGTTTGCCCACTTTGCCACGGATTGTTTTGGTAGATTCATTTCTTGTTCCCACATTTCATAGATACTGTTCTGTAGCTCTTCACAAAGTACAGGTTTAATACGTGGACATATATGTATTTAGAATATTGCTTGGTACATGGTTAGCACGCTCTTAGTCACACTTCTGATAACTAAGCAGCTCAACTTTGTCTGTATAAGATGTAAAACTACTTTCAAGCCCAACCAACAACCATCCTTTCCCGTTTTCCACTCTTTCCCGCGCCTAAACACCCAATGTCAAAAGCCAACCAAGTTAAGAGGCCAGTCTAAAATAGGTACACCACAAAACATCCAAAATGGAAAGGCTTTAAATGTTTCTGGTCTGGGGATGATTCTAGGCAAACAAATAATATCTAAAACAAGTCTTGAGGATTTTGTTACTTCTGAAGTCCCATTTCAGAGGTTTGTTTGAAACTATCGCATTTGACCCTGTAAGACCACCGTCCTCTATAGAAAGCTGCACGTTGGAGGCGGCACCCTGAATAGTGAGGAGTGTGGAACTGGGCTAGGTGTGGCGGTTCCCGCAGCGAGTGCCACGTAACCAGGGCGCTCCAAGTAATTTGACATCTAGGAAAGGCTAAGAGAAGCGTAGGCCGGCCCGGATATTAGGGCAGAAGACTCGGGTGGGAGCAGAAGCAATGAGCCGTGCGGCCCTGGGCTGGTGGGCAGCCTCGGGGGAGGAGGACCCCGCGTGGGGCGCGGGAAGATGCGAGGAGAGGAACGTCACGCGGTGCCGGGTACCTCCCAGGAGCGCTGGGTCCAATGGGAGGAGGGCGCGAGCCGCACCTCAACCTGCCTGGGGACGTCACGACGCCGAGGCGGACGCCCGGCCAATGGGAGGCCGTCACGGGCAGGGGCGGGGCCCGGAGGAATTGGGCTGGCTCGCAACGAGACAGTTGGCGGAGTCTTGAGGCCGCTGCCGGAAAGGGGGAGGATCGAGCCGGCGACTGCGACGCCGGCCTGCGCTAAGCCTCTCGCCCGCCCTTGCCTCTTACCGCATGGTGCCGGCTTCTCGCTAAGCTGGGGCGGCGAGGCGAGAGGGACGCACTGCCGGGGCGGCTCGGAGTCGAGGCTTCCCGTCGCCCGCACTTCCTCCTGTGGCGCCCGTGCTTGGCCGCCTCGGCCAGCGGGATGGCGGCGGCGGCCCGGGGGAGTGGCCGCGCATCGGCGCCCCGGCTGCTTCTGCTTCTGCTGCTAGCGCTGCTGTGGGCCCCGGCCGGCGTCCGCGCTGTGCCGGACGAAGACCTTAGCCTTCGGAACAAGGAACCGCCGGCGGCCGCCCAGCAGCTGCAGCCGCAGCCGGCGGCCGTGCAGGGCCCCGAGCCTGCCCGGGCCGAGGTGAGCAGGACGGGCCGGGCCGGCTGCGGAGCCGGTGCACCGGGTACCAGGCTCGCGGCCGCCGGGAGCGCCGCGCCCGGCCCCGGCTGCCGGCGGGGGGAGGGGAGCCCGCCCCGGCTCCTTGGGGTGGAGGCGGCGGAGGGCCCTTCTTCCCGGGTCGGGCCGGCCTCGCCCGGCTCCTTATGGGGGAGGGGATGGGAGCGCCCAGCAAGGAGCCTGCTGTAAACCTCCAGTCCGGGAGCATCAGGATGCTGCTGAGGAAAGGGCGTCTTGATGATCAGATGTGCCCTAAAGAGCTGCAAGTACTCGTTCCGGGTAGAAAGTTTGTAACAGAGGACAGCGGGAGGCTTTTCGTATTCCCTGAGGATGAGAACATCGGCCATTTCATTGTTGAAAACGCTCATCCCCAGCTGCTTACCCAAATTCAGCTTTGTATGACCTGTGGTTTTTGCCAAATATATATGGATTATGAAGAGTGACTCTCACTTTTTAAAAACGTGCTCTGGCTTGCAGGAAGTAACCCTCAGGAACGCAGAGGAATAAGCCGTCTTTGACAGTACAGAGTGCTGCAGCGTACGGGATGCCAAAACTAAATTCATAAGCATACCAGAAAGAACCCTGTCGTTTGGCCTTATTAACGACTTTAATGTATGTTAATAGAATCACTTAGTCACTTGTGTCCAGAACCTCGGCGGCAATTTTAAATGTCTTCCCTGTATCGGGGAAGCTTTCTCCTCATTTCCAATTTGGACTCCTGAATTGAGGCCTCTGTGGTCTCTTCTGGTAGGAGAGGTTTGGCGCTCAGCCTCCCAGGCTACATTCGGCCCGTCGCCGCCCAACTAATCTTTCTAAAACTGAATTCTGTTTTACTTCTCAGAAATCCTCAGTGAATTGTCCCCGCATACTGACTTCAGTCCATCCTCTAATGCAGGATGTTGAGGTTTCTCCCTGAGGTGGTGCCCAGTCTTTTTTTAGCCACGGCACCCTTGCTCATATGCAATACTCAAACCACTCTAACCTGAGACGCGCCTTGTGCTCCAGGGCTAGTCTCCCAGATGACAGTCTCCCTAAAAAAGGCTTCAGTGAGCCTGGAGCCCACTGGTCAGAACCTTTGCCACCTTTCAGGAACCCGCAGACACCTACTGTCTGTGAAGACTTCCCCATAACTTCCAGTTTAAACGTGATTTCTCTCTTGCCTGTTACCTCTGGGCTCAGCTGACCCTGCTCACCTTTTCCACTTCTGAACTTGAACTGAAATGCTGATTCATGAAATGTATTCTTAATGTTTATCATTTAGCTTTCTGTCTTTTAAAATCCTCATCTGTCATTAACTTACTACTTTTCAAAGACTAGTTTGAGTGAAGTAACTTAGAGAGATTTTGAATGTAACTTTCCAGGCCTTTTCATCAGAGCTCTAGTCCTATAGTGATTTTTGAGATATAAATAGTGGTAGGTGTGGCTATTAATAATACCCGTTTAGGCGCCTGGTGGCTCAGTAGGTTAAGCATCTGACTGGTCCAGGTCATGATCTTGGTTTGTGGGTTTGAGACCCGCATGGGGCTCTGTGCTGACAGCTCAGAGCTTGGACCCTGCTTCAGGTTCTGTGTCTCCTTCTCTCTTTCTGCCTCTCCGCCGCTCACGCTCTGTCTCTCTTTCTCTCAATAAATAAATATTAAAAAATTTTTTAATAAAAAAAATAATACCCTTTTAGACAGGGAAAATCCAGACTTGTAAAATAAAGGCAGCAGTATGCAATGATTGTATTAAGTGGTCTTAAGGATGCTTGTCTTTAAAACTGGAGATGTGAAGGGAAGGGGCAGGCACAATCTAATAAGATTTTTGTCTTTAATATTTTGATATACAGTTGACCCTTGAACAATGGGTTTGAAGTGCACGGGTCCACTTATACATGGATTTTTTTTCCATACAATACTATGAATATTCTCTGTTATGATTTTAACATTTTCTTTTCTCTGGCTTTGTTATAAGAACACAGTATTTAATACATACAACATACAAAATATGTGTTAATTGATATCAGTTTATGTTATCAGTAAGCCTTTCTGTCAACAGTAGGCTATTAGTGGTTGAGTTTTTGGGCAGTCCAAAGCTTTATGCAGATTTTCCAGTGTATAGTGGCTCAGCACCCCTAACCCCACACTGTTCAAGAGTCAACTGTTTTCTCGGTGGTTCTTTTAAGATAGGAATTTATTCTAAACTCTCTATTGTATGGTAGAATCTAATGATCTTGTTTTAATTATATTTTCATCTAACTTTGATATGGCTCAGAATTTTTTTCTCTACAGTACTACAGCATGTTAGAAGAGATTTTTCTGTCATGTTTTCTGAACTGCTTAATATAAGTATCATTTGCTTTTGTTGTCCAGTTGGTAGAGGTAAGATATGGTCAGGGTTTGGGGCGCCTGGGTGGCGCAGTCGGTTAAGCGTCCGACTTCAGCCAGGTCACGATCTCGCGGTCCGTGAGTTCGAGCCCCGCGTCAGGCTCTGGGCTGATGGCTCAGAGCCTGGAGCCTGTTTCCGATTCTGTGTCTCCCTCTCTCTCTGCCCCTCCCCCCTTCATGCGCTGTCTCTCTCTGTCCCAAAAATAAATAAATGTTGAAAAAAAAAATTTAAAGATATGGTCAGGGTTCAGTCTAATAACCATATAAGCAAGGGCCAAGCATTGCTGGATATCTGAAAGTTTCAACCATTTTGCTTTGTAGTTACATCCAGTAGATCTTTTAAAAAGGTAGGATATTTAAATTTACTTTTTTCATGCCACTGTGTGAGAGTGGACTTCTGAAAATGGAGGGGGGAAAAAATCTCCTTTGTTGGTAGGCATTCAGGTGTGAGATGTAATAACATAGTTATATCTCCCAGGGTGCTTTGAAGCAAGATAGCTGAACTTCTGATAGGGCTTTCTACATTGGGTATTTTTTTTTTTTTTTCTATAACCAGGTAAAAAAGTTCACTCTCTACTCCTAGTTACAAATAAACCTCAGTTTACAAAGCCATGGAAAGAGTAGTTGTTGACTACTTTGAGTCCTTTCCTTTATGCAGTTTATGCTTCTAGTGACTTACTCTGGTTTTTCTTATTCTTTCCCTGGACAGAGCATGTAATACAAGAAGCATTAAGTCCCTTTAGTTTAGGGAGATCAGGCAGTTTATAATTTGCTGCATATTCTGGAAGTCCAAAGAGCTGCTCTGGTTGCAGAGCACTGTTGATAAAGCCACAAAAGCCTATTACCTCACCCAGTACAAATTCTTATTGTATTTCTGCTTTACTGTTTCTTGGCATTTGTTAAATTTTTTTTTTTTTAACATTTATTCGTTTTTTTAGAGACAGACAGAGTGTGAGTGGCGAGGGGCAGAGAGAGGGGGAGACATGGAATCCAGAGCAGGCTCTAGGCTCTGAACTAACAGCACGGGGCTCGAACCCACGGACTGTGAGATCATGACCTGAGCCAAAGTCAGACACTTAACCAACTGAGCCACCCAGGCGCCCCTGTTTCTTGGCATTTCTTATCTATGAACTGTCAGAAGGCCTTCCATTTTCATGAAGTTGCACTTCTGCTCCATCCAGCCCAACCTCCCACTTCTAGCCTCTTTACAGCGAAGCTAGAGGCTGTCAGGTGACTCTTGTCCTACTCTTGATTGCTGTGTCAAAATGAAGTGATAATTATGTTGATGAATTTATTTGGTGGTATTCTATCCATCAAAGCGATTCATTTAAAAAAATCAGTGAAACTAAATACATTTAATACATTTCAAATCTCAATTTATAAATATATTACCAAACAGTAACATGTATAAAAATAATGTTGTTAAACTCATTAAAACAAAATGTATTGGGGTGCCTGGGTTGCTCAGTTGCTTAAGCATCTGACTCTTAATTTTGGCTCAGGTCATGATCTCACAATTCATGAGATCAAGCCCCATGTCAAGCTTTGTGCTAGCAGCGTGGAGCCTGCTTGGGATTCTCTCTCCCTCTCTGCACTCCCTTGCTTGCACGTGCTCTTTCTCTCTCAAAACCAGTAAACTTAAAAAATGTATTTATGGGGTGCCTGGGTGGCTCAGTCAGTTAAGTGTCTGACTCTTGGTTTTGGCTTAGGTCATGATCTCACAGTTCACGAGTTTGAGCCCCACATTGGACTCTGCACTGAGCGTGCAGAACCTGCTTGAGAATCTCTCTCTCTCTCTCTACCCCTCCCCTGTGTTCTCTCTCTGTATCTCTCTCAGAAATAAATTAAAAAAATTTTTAAAAAATGTGTTTATAAATTCATATAAATATGAATTAACAAATAACATTAAAAATAAAATATTAAAAAATAAGGGCGCCTGGGTGGCTCATTCAATTGAGCATCCAACTCTTTTTTTTTAATTTTTTTTTTTTCAACGTTTATTTATTTTTGGGACAGAGAGAGACAGAGCATGAACGGGGGAGGGGCAGAGAGAGAGGGAGACACAGAATCGGAAACAGGCTCCAGGCTCTGAGCCATCAGCCCAGAGCCTGAGCATCCAATTCTTGATTTCAGCTTAGGTCATGATCCCAGGGTCGTGGGATCGAGCCCGGTGGCGGGCTCCATGCAGAGTTTGGAGCCTGCTTGAGATTCTCTCCCTCTCTCTCCGTCCCTCTTCCCATCTCTTTCTCAAAATAAAAATAAAAATAAAAATAATAGTAATAATAAACAAACCTAACATTCACAAATAAAAATAACTTACATGACAATGAAAATTTATAATATAATTTTATCCTTTTTTAATACAATCTCTTAAAACCAGGTTTATCCGTGGTATCTTGTTTGTGTTTATTTATTTATTTTTTATCTAATTTTTTTTTTTTGAGTATATGAAATTTATTGTCAAATTGGTCTCCATACAACACTCAGTGTTCATCCCAAAAGATGCCCTCTTCAGTACCCATCACCCACCCTCCATCCAGCATTTCAAATGAAGGTTTCCACCGCCAGAACCAGGATTCCTGATTTGAAGCCAAAGCA